GCTGAACTTGTCATTATATTTTGTTTGTTTACATGTAAATATAACCTAAAAATAAAAAAAAATTAAGAAATTTCGTTTGAAATATATACGGCTACAATGAAAAAAAAAAAAATTTATATTTTTATTATTTTTTTTATTTTTATATAACTTACAACAAATTATTGCAATTCCTTTATTATTTCATTTTGAAACATAATTGAAAACAAATATTTTAAAAATTTAAATTATATATTCGTATATAAATAAGCAAAAACTAACCAATTTTCAAATATATTTTCAAAAAATTTATGTTTTATTTAAAATTTTTGTGTGTAACTTTCTTCTTTCTTTACACTTTTTCTAAAATTATTATATTTCACTTTACACTGCTTACTATATGAGAACAGCTGTCACTAGGCGCAGCCATATTTTGAAAACTTCTAAGTACACCGCTTTTCCGCTAGAGGCGTCATAATCGGAGATATGTAATTTCGGATTTATTCTCATGCAGGGGACCTATATGCTTAACAAGCAGTGAGTGCTCTTATACTACTTTATGCGTAGTAGTATGATGTTCCATGCGTTAGCCGCGTGGCGCTCTTGCTTTTATAGTATGAAGCCCTTACTACGAGAGTATGTTTAACCACGAAGTATTGTTAGGTTTTTTCAAAAACTATCGGAGAGGGAGGAGGTTAAATTTTTTTGAAAAATTTAAACAGTGAATTTTTGATGACTTGTAACTTTTAAACAGAAAGATGAAAAAAATTTGACCTATATGTTTTCGAAAGGTTTTTTCCTGCTCTTTCGAATGGTGCAAAAAAAATTTCAAAAATTCAAATTTTGACACTTTTATTTGAAAATCAAAAATTTTTTTGACTTTTTTTTAAGTTTGGTCTTTTTTTACATATTTTTTTTTTTGAAAGTTAAAAATGTGTATTTTCACCACAAAAAATATTGAGATGTCCTTTTTTGTTATTTTCGAGATATTAATTAATTAATGTTAATAAAAAATGAAATATTTCACAAATAAATAAAGTTATTGCAATCCTGAATCTATTAATTGAAAGCTGACGTAATTCCGCATCCAACGAGCCCTATATGAACTATTTTGGCTTAGAGGATTTTTTATACACAATTGCAATGTTGGCCAATTGTTTATTAACAATTTACTAATCCAAAGTACTTTATATTGGGCTCGTTGGATGCGGCATTATGTCAACTTTCCTTTAGTAACGTCAGAATTACTAATGTTACTAATATATCATATTATACGTATAAAAGTAAATTACGATTTAATTTTGTAGTTTCGTATTAAAAAAAGTCATTATATTGTGTAAAATAACAGCTGCGTAAAGTAAATTACTTTACGCACGCTTATGAAAAGAGGAACTTTACATATACTTTTCGATGCGTAAACTTCAACTTTAGAGGTTAGTGTTGTAAAAAATATTTTTTTACAAATAGAAACAAAATTATAAATTATAAATAATTAAAAATATAATTTTTCCATTTAATATTCATTTTTAATTATTTTTTAATTTATCATTTTTTCAACATGTAAAAAATGTAATATATGCGTCGAAAAGACATTTTTAATTTATATACCATAAATAAACAATAAAAAGTCGTTTCAGGTCAAAACAGTAGAATATATTTTTTATTTACATATTTTTAAACAATGTAGTGTAGATTGGGGCGTGGTTGCAAGTTGAGGTTATCTTAAAAACGAATTTGTTAAATCGCTGGTCAATGGTAAGGTCACTAACTGACTAGATAGCACTAGGTTCGGCTGTTCTATCAAATTTATTGTTACTACGATTTTATTTCTGAAAAGCGTGTTTTTCTAACCCTAATTGCCTTTTTTTGTCAATGCTACAAGAAAAAATTAAATTGCAACAAATAAACCAGGTGAGTATATTCCGACGTGGAATTCATCGCTGAAGACAAATCGTCTGGTTAAATCGCTGGTCAATGGTAAGGTCACTAACTGACTAGATAGCACTAGGTTCGGCTGTTCTATCAAATTTATTGTTACTACGATTTTATTTCTGAAAAGCGTGTTTTTCTAACCCTAATTGCCTTTTTTTGTCAATGCTACAAGAAAAAATTAAATTGCAACAAATAAACCAGGTGAGTATATTCCGACGTGGAATTCATCGCTGAAGACAAATATCGTTCAATTTTGGCAATTTATTAAGTTTTCAAGAAAATATTTTCGTTTTTTTAAGAAGTGTATTGGAGGGGCGTAGTGGCGAGTTAAGAATATTGGAAAATTCATTTTTATGTTGCATTTTCAGCTTCATGATGCGAAAATATACGAAATAGAGTAAAGCCGAATGAACAAGCGACTCAAGAAGTAGTTGCAGTTGTTCACGTGAGAAAAGTAAAATAAGTTTTATTTTCATTTCATTTTAAGTGTAACTATTTTTGTAATTTAATTATTACTAATTTAAGTTTTTTTTAATAAATAAATTAAAAATTCTATGCATTTTTTATAGTTTTATTACTGAAAAACATAAACTCGTCACCTCGCCCAACATTTTTGAAAATCATGATTTTCACAACTTTTGTTTCGGAAGCTATAATTTAAACTAACGAATAAAGCTTTCAAATAAGAGGTTGTTTATTAAAATTGATTGATTTTTGCGATCGCTACAGACTTCCGAATCTGCCCCACTCTACTCTACTATTTAAATAGTTATATAAAATTGGAACATTTTTAAAGTTCATTAATCATAATATTATGGAATAAATTTTTATTATTTGAATGTTATTATTAATTAAAAGTAAAAGTTGGAAAAAATGAAATACCAAAATAAGAATATTCCGTTAAAAAATTAATTTTACATTTATTTATTTCCAATTTATGAATATTCATTTGAAAGAAGACTTTTTTTGAGAATATTCTGATTAAAAGATAACTTTTAATCATTCATCTTTAAATGAAATTCTGCTTTTGGATTTAAGATTTTTTTTCTAAAATGCAAATTATTCCTCTTTAAATGTAACAATTTCTTGATAGAAAAAAGATTTTTTAACTTATCTTTTGCTTTTACGCGAACCTTCAATCTGTTTATAAAGTGACATTTGAAAAAAATGGTAGTGATTTCACATGAAAATATTCTCCGCAGGTATTTTTTCACAAAATACTTGATAGATTAAGCTAAAATTTTGTGGAGAACTCAAAAATAGTATAAAGAATTGCTGTTATGTGCCAGAGTAGGTATTAAAATTTTATCAAAAAATTGCATATTTGAAGAAAATTTAATATGACGGCAATTCGATTTTAGTCATTGTCACCAAAAATTAAATTTTTTAAGAATACATTTTTTAATAGAATATTAATACTCTGGCAAATAACAGAGATTCTTAATACTATTTTTTAGTTTTTCACAAAATTTTAACTCAGTCTATTAAATATTTTGCGAGAATATCTTAATTAGACAGGAATAATTTAGTGCCCATATATAAGAGGAAAAGTTGATGCAAAAGAAGAAGAATCCTCTTTTAATGAAAACATTTTTTTCCATGTGGAATTATTGCAAAAAATATATTAATTGAAATATTTTTGCTTCAAAACATTTCGCAATTTTATGAAATTAAAACCTTTTTTGAGACCTAAATATTTTAGGTTTTGCAGATATTTTATTAATAATAATATAATAAATTTAGTATTAAAACTTGACGAATGTGTTTTGCTTCTATTTGAGATTATTAAATGTTTTACTGAAAAATTTTAACTCTAGAACTTGAAGTTGTTAATTTCTTACTTGCGAGTTTCGTTTTTGGTATAAAGTAAAGCTTTATTTTTATTTCAAGAAGTTTATATAGTATGTATACTTATTTATCTAATATTCTTCATTTTAAAAAGTGTCCAAAGTATTTCTCCTTTCAGAAATTCTCTTCAAAAATAATAAATTTTTCTTGATTCTTTTCAAATATGGAGAGAATCTTTATTATAGAAGTTTAATTGTAGAGTAGAATGGGGTGAAAAAGCCATTTGGCTTTTATATTAAAACTGATGAATTGTTTTACCAGCCATTTAGAATACACTCAAATTTCTATATAACGAGATTCCATATAACAATAGCGCTCGGTATAACGAATCAGCTGTTTCCCCATATAACGAGAAACGTAATTTCCGCTTACCCCCACTATCTAGCATATATTATTGAAGTTATAGGTTATGTTTAGAATATTTTGATCTTTTACTTACGCACAGTTTTTGCGCAACTCTCGTTATATAGAGAGTTTCCGGACCGAGCTTTTCGTTATACAGAAATTTGAGTGTATACGTTTAATTGAGTAACACGTAACTTTTTATGCTAGTTTGGATGTTGTATCGATAATATTATAGATTTTAATTAGAAGGTTTCGTATGAATAAAACGATAACATTCGGACCATTATTATTTTAATAAAAGTTTACTCCAACGTTTCGAAATCTAAATGATTTCCTCTTCAGGGAGTATATCAAATTACAATAAATTTGTCAAATAAACAAATTCAATAAATAATAAAAATAAAATAAACTGCAATAATAAATTAAATTTCAAATAATCTTACCAAATTAAAACAGATGTCAAGTCATAAAGTTAACAGTCATTTGCGGTGTCAAATTAAATAAAATAAAAAACAACCCTAACATTGGAGAAACAGAGTTTGGAGCTTAAGTCTAAAATTAAACAAATTAAATTTACTATAAAATTATTTGAATGAATAAATTATTAATTTTAAATAATCGAAATAATAATCGAAAGGGAAAATTATAAACACGTACCAATAAAAAGAATCCATTTTTTAAAAAAATAATAAATAAACAAACAGCAATAATTAAATAAATAAATTTATGTTATCGTTTTATTCATACGAAACCTTCTAATTAATATACTTCTCGGACGTTAAACATTTTTAAAAATTATAGTTTTTATTGTAATTTTTATTTTTGAGTTGCTCATTTCGATTACTGTAAATCAATAAAAGTAGGTAAACTTAACATAAAATACAATTTTGCATGCCAAAAACTTTTTAAAATTATTTATTTGCCATGTAAATAAAAGAAAAATATTAAAAAAAATGTGTAACAAAATATTTTGGAAAAATCGCAAAGTGGCAAAAAGCCACTTGCAAGTGCTTTCGTAAAGCTCTTATAATTGACTCCTTTCATGGAATACAAAAAATTGTTCTACATGGATTTTGAAGCTTAATAACTAAACTTTCAGTACCAATTGGAAATTAAAAAAAAATTTGAATTCCGATTTTATAGGGTAAAATGTAAAAACGTGGCTTTTTCAACTCACGCTACTCTATAACATGCAAGGAACAAAAATCATTTGTAGATTTTTAGTTTCATATTTCTTAAAAACGATTAGTTTAGCATGTTTAGTTTAACGATATAATTTATTTTACATACAGTTACCACATTTTTTCTAGTAAGAAGGTTCGTAATCGCCTTACATTTTTTAAACAACATACAGAATCATTTAAAAAATTATTCCCTGTTCTTTTCTACATCTTTAAATCTGCATTCGTAAAAATTGAGCTCTTCATTTGTTTTATTGGAAATGTCAACTAATTTTAGTTATATTTTTTACAAAAGACTAGAAAAAAAGAAATGAACAACTCCATTAGTGACATATCACTCACAATAATCAGTTGACATTTTTTACAATATTAAATTATCAGCTCCATTTTTACTAAATCAGAATTAAAGATATGCACACTTGAAATTTAATTATTAATTTTGACGAAACTGATTTTTTAAATATAATTTAAATCAAGTGTGAAAACAAGAACATCTATTGATAAGTAAATAACCTAACGTCATAAATGATTTTTCTACATTTAAAAACTTTGCAATTTCTCACGTTTTTAAAAACTTAGACTATTTTTATTTACAAGTCTTTCGGCTACTGGCCGACATTGATATGACTGAGAAATACTTTAATAACAATAATAATACTAGAACGTAATTATGGCAGTAGTAATAACTAATTTAGATTATCGAAAATGCATAATAATGCATTGCACATAACACTATGCGACAAAGCTTTTGATACAGACTTTCTTAAAAGAATGTTGTTATTGTGTTTTGTTGAATTAGTACTTTATACTCATTTTTTAATCTAAGTGATATTTTTTAATTGTTCAATCAAATATTTGCTTATGTATAAATACAATTTAATTGTAAGCATAACAAAATAGTTGTTTCAATCTCCTCGTTAATAGTAAATAAAATAAAAAAAGGATTTTATGAGAATAGAACTAAAAAATGATCTACTTTACAAAGTATAATTTTAAACTGAGATATATATTAAAAGAAGATAATATGTACATTATTTTAGAACCTATTATTCAAAAAAGTAAAATGGATATCTATATATCTTCATAAGTAAATGCTTAAAATGAAAGTATAGGTTTTTAAATTATTTAAAGAGGAACAAAAACTGACTGATATAAAGTTAACTAATATAATTCGTTTCTCCAAGAAAATGAATAATATAAAAAAAGAAACACTTTCTTTGTCGCACAGTGTAATTCATTACGGGTCTGGAATGATTTATATATTGTTTATACAATTTGAAATCTTACAAGTAAAATTATTACAATTAAAGAAGACAACTTTCAAGGAATAACGAAAATTATTGACGTTCAAGTTCATTGTACATTATAGTTATGATTTGTTTGTTATTTAATTTTACAATTTTCTTTCAAGATAGTAATTGGTTTGTCATCACTCACAATTTGTAAAAACCACACATAATTTGAATTTGTGTTCACTTTAACATCAATCATCATCATCATCAGAATCCAAATTATCATCCGGTTCACTATTATCGAGAGCACTTAGTTTCGAAAAATCTGGTTCTCTGAAATTCATTCGCCAAGAATGATAAAAAAAGTCAGTATCTTTTTTGCAGTTAAAGGTTCTAGGCGACCTTGAGAACTGCTAAACCACCTGATACTTTTGATCTGGAAGAATGTAATCTGATGATTCTGCTGGACACGAAGTAATATCATTCGAAGATGAATTTAAATGGTGTCCTGTTAGATGAGACATTGAAGACGTTAAGGTAACATTATGGTGATATTGCGGATGATGATAGTTACTTTGTGGGCTATGATGCATATGCGATATTTGAGACTGATAATAGTCTCCTGGCGTATAAGGATTTTGATAACTATTATATGGTTGACTTGCATAACACTGACTGGGATTAACAGCACCTGGGGAAGCGGAACTCCAAGCGAAACCGTAATCACTATGATGAATTTGATTTACAGAAGGTGGATATGATGATGGTGTCAATTGGCTAGAACCAGGCGTTAATGGTGGTGAAGGTGTCGTTAGAGCACTGCTTGCATTACTGCTACCAGTTGGTGTAGAACCCAGTCTAGGATATGATGAATTTACTGACAACAGAGGGGAATTCGATCCTGGAGCTTCCTTCCCTCGAGGTGGTGAAACTGGTGGCGTTCTTCTCGTTGTTGCAGGAGGAATTTTAGTGCTTGACGAAGAAGATGACCGTGAAGCCGGTCTTCTCGGTGCAACAGTTTGCTGTTGTTGTTGCTGTTGTTGTTGCTGTCTACATTTTGCTCTTCTATTTTTAAACCAAACCTGAAAAACAATAACAATGTTATAATCAAGTATAGAATATAACGATCATTTCGAATAATTTTACTCAAACAGGAGCAGTAAATAAAAAAAATAAAAATATAAACAAAATTTCTAAATATGAAAATTGATAATAAAGCACTCTATAAACGTACATATATGACGCGCTGAATAAGAGTTAATCGGTGCAATGAGAAAATAATCGCGGGCGGATGGGCGTAACATTTCATTAAATCGCAACAATAACAGCACATTCTGGTAAAGAAGGGCGAACGAGAGATCTGGGCACTCAGGCGAATCACCCCTGGGATTCTTTAGTTGATATACTGTACACAAAAACGTATTTCTATACTGTAAACTGAAATTATGTGTAACAGTGAGCGTGTTCAAATCTAGAATTGCACAAACTGTAGTACAATTGTAATACATATAGTTCATATACGTATATGAGATGAAGTGAAAAAGTGTGTGTTAGCGTGCGGTAGGTAACAGGGCGGAGAAAAGAGACAAGAGGGGACAAAAAGTTCCCCTTATATGCCACAACGTAGTACACACCCCTGTAATCCTTCGTACAATGTGGCTAGGGGCGCGATCCTATGAATCTATGCTATGCCTTTCAAATTGGGTCCCGCTGTTGTTGTTATTGTTATTATCATTTCTGCCGACGTTATTATTGGCTAGTTCGTCACAAGCGTCACAATTCACATTGTCAGATATACGTGGTAAAAAAATATCTCTCTTGTGATGACTATTGGCTGCTTATATGACAGCCGACACATGCATACAAGTTTCAAATTTAAAATAGAGGAGACAGTACCCAAGTTTGCTTTTATTACAATTTAGAGAGTTTAACGACGCCAATAACTGAAATTTATTTTTTTTCGTTATTTCTAAACAAAACAACTTATTTTTTATACAAATAAAATTTTCATTATTACAAAACTCATTAATCCAAACATATCATTCAAATTATAATTATATATTATATACTGAATGATGAGAAAGATTAACATCGTAAGAGCAAGAGCTTAAAATTTCTTGAAAATTCTAAGAAACTTGATAAAAAAATCCAAAAGGTACATGTGCTATGCGGAGCAGCTTTAATTTGGTATATGTTTTTTTCTTTGAGAATGTTTTTGAAAAATAATTCTGGGTGAGATCGCGACAAAAATAATTATGGTTTTCGGTATTCAAGTTTGGGTTTTTAATATAAAAAATTTCAGTTTTTTTGGTAATCGCTTTCAGGTTTTCAATTGGTTCCCTCTGATAATAATATGAATGAAAATATTTGTGTGGTTTGGATTATTTATAAAAAAAAATATATTATTATAATTACTCATAATTAATTTATAAATTTATTTTATAAGTATGATTAACATTTTTGATTAAATTTTCTTTGACTTGTTTTGATGATTGTAAAGTTTCATTCCTACTCATTTGTTTTAAGTTTAAAAACCGAAAAGAACTGAAAAAGCAAAATTTAGGTTCCGAAATTACTGTTTTTAAATTTTTACAATAAGGGTTTCGGTTTTTTAAAAATTTCTTTTTTCGTTCAGATTACCATCTCTTGAACTAACTAGCTCTACTCTAATCTATTCATAATTTTAATTCGCTTGTGATACTGAATTAAATATTAAAAATATTTTAATTCTGATTCTAAAATTGCAATTAGTGACACATAAATTTTCTAAATATAAAGTTTTATAAGAATCTATAATTTTATAATCCCGCGTATAGTACACCTAAAAAAGTTGCGTAATGCGTACACGGAAAAATTTTGTTCAAGATATATGTTCTTAAGAAATTTCTATCAGTGAATAAATTTACACAATTTAAGGTTTACAGATTTAATGTTTGCTTCATTGCATGTGTACCACGCCAAAAAGATGTTATTTAGCCTAATTTGAGGTTGCTGAAAATGAAAATAACACTAATTTATATGTATAACCGCACGCAATTCGACTATATATATATCATGGTTACTCAAGGCACGCAATTCAACCTATACCTGCCATCACTTGGGACGCAATTCAACCAGGCGCACGCAATTCGTTATCAGGCATAAACGGGCCCTCTCCCTTATCTGTTTTATAATTTTCAATCTATTAAGCTTTAATTTAAAATATATAGAAACAAATGGGAATTGATTGAAAACATAAAATTAATTACTGTGAAAATAAATATGAAACAATGTTCCTTAAAACAAATATATCATATACTGTGAATTTGGTTATAGTGAACAGAACCTACGCGCAGATCCGATTGTATAATTCACAGTATGTACGATTTTTCAATTTCAGTCGTTGAATTCATTTAAAAATTCTATTTTTTTCAGGAAATTCGTATTTTATGTATGGTTTTTGTTATTAAGCTTTTTTGTGTTATATATATATTTCGTGGAACTATACGATGGAGAGTATCAGCAATAACGTGAAAATAGGACAAAAGCAAAGAAAATCTGTCCTGAACTTTCCGCGTAAAGTTAAGCCGATATGAATAGCTTGCAGTTAGAAAAGGGTGTCCACACAAATATAAATACGTATGTATGGAGAAGTATACTGGTATGTACACTTCGCATAAGGCATAGTTATACATTCATGCTTATTTGTTGCTTCTGACTATTCCCCCCCCCTCTATATATATATATATATATATATATATATCGCACAATTACATGATTACACCAATGGAATTGTTTTTGTATGTGTGTATATGTACATTGCTAGAAGCTATACATACATGTATATATATATATGTACAGAAGTGCAGGATATAGTACACAACATAGTTGATTTGTTCGTGGATTATAGCCCCTGCGCCTCGCGTCATATATGTCCATACGTGAACATCGCAGCTGCGTTATTTCTCTATGTTTGTCGGTCGGTTTACTTATTCTCATTGGCATTTGAAAGAATTTTTTGACTATAGTCTTGACAAAATTAAACGAAAATTAAAATTTTTTATAAACATGGTCTTATAAACTTTTTACAAAAATGTAAAACAATAATTTTAGTACACATTTAATTGAATTGAATTTCTTTATTGTTTTTGATAGATAAATTTAACAGTAATGTTTAATTTAACAGTAAAAGTCAACAAATTAAAGAAACTTTCACTTCAATATCTCTTGTTGTGGATGAGTTTAACGAAATTTTCAAAACAGAATATTAATTTTTTTAGTTAAAATCTAGTGAATTTTAGTTTTACTTTTTATAAATTCAATTTTTCCTTTGACTAAAATTTTACACTTTCCTCTTGTTTCAAATTCAATAACCATTTTTCGAAATTTATATCATGTGCTGAATTCAACTTCAACACCGGCGAAAGTTCACATTATATACTGCACAGAATGAATGCATTTTTCCTGAAAAATGTAGTTTTACAATAAAAAATCAAATTTTTCTCCGTGCAGAATCACAATGTATACTGTAATGTATATTAATGTATACTCTAACCAGAATTCTAGCACTGTAAAAAAAGTACTAAAATAGTACCGATTTTAGGTATCAAAACAGAACCAAATGACAATTAAGTGCCTAAATTTGGTATTAAATTAATACCTTTCGTTTTACAGTGAGTTGAAATAACCAGTATTCTGGTTATTCTAGCCAGAATTCAATCCTTTTCTATACTATTTTAATTTTAAATTGGTTCAATCTTTCTACAATGTGGATGAGTTTTAAAAAGAGTAGTTTATGATTAATTTTCAATTTGTCTCCATAAATATAAAGGTGTATATGTCATAGGCCGATAGACTTTTCAGGCCAGTAGAGGAAATTGAATTTATATATTCTTTTAACGTCTACTTGCCTAGGAAAATCAGGCCATTAGACAAATATTTCACAAATGGGCTACTAGTCTGTCCATTATTAGACTATTAGAATAAGCACTGTTTATGTTATTGATTAAGTCTTGTTAATTAATTTAAATATTAGAATTAATACATTAATTAAATGAAATCAGTTTTGCACTTACATTTACCACGTAGAATAATTTTAAAATAAAATTTTAGTTTCTGAATTTATATTTTTCGATACAGTCGCGATTAATACGATGGAGAATATTGTCGATCGTGCGGAATTTGAAAAAAATGGATGATTATTATCAATAAATGCAAGTATCAATAATTTTATTTGGAATAAGGTGCATGAATTGAGTCTTATTAAATGTCTCTTGGAAAGTGCAAAGTAAACCGCGAAAAAAAGTCAATATTATCATTACTCTAAATTGTATGAACTCGTAAAAATCGGAGCAAACATGCACGTAATTTTGAAAAAAAAAATAAAATATAAAAGTATAATTTAAATTAATTAATGTTAAAATAAAATTTTTCTATGACTTACAAACTAAACAATTTTTTTCTATCGGCCTAAAGATAAATAGGCTAGTATATAGCCATCAGCGAGTTTTTCGTCAACTAACTGGCCGGCCAATAGAAAATAAAATAAAATATAGAAAAAGAGATTCAAAAGAATGAAAGTTTTTATTATATTATTTTTTTGTTACTGGACATTTGCAATTGTTAGGTTAATTTTACAAATTTTAAGATACTTTTGGGAGATAAAATTGGTAGTATAATAAATGTAATTCTTGGAATGATTGATACCCCAAAAAATTTTGACTTTACTATTTTATAAGTAAAGCGTTGGTGCATTATACTTAAAAAATCAACTTTTTATGAGAAAAAGTAAAAAAAAAAGAATTTAAATGAATTTGATCAATTAGTTCCTTAATACAGAAAGAAACTAAACTCAAAATGAGCCGTGTAGGCGGCTCATTTTGATGTGCAAAAAAAATGAACCAGGTTGGTGGCGCCACTGTCTATGTCGTTTACCATTGGCTCATTTTGATTTGCAACAAAAATGAGACTAGGTTTTTTCTGTGAATAATATTACATTTTAAAGTCCATTTTATAGTATCAAACAGTTATTGAGATGTCACAAGAACCACAATAAAAATGTCGAATAACCAACTGTCATATCTATCAATATTACAGTAGGAACAATGATTAAACGTACCAAAAGGAGATTCAATTTCTCCGCTCCCTATATAAACACTTAAATCTCAGTTCAGCTTGCAAGAGCACGAAGCATTTTAGATGGAAGAGTCATGTTACAATAATACTTTGCCCTATGATGCAAAAATACATTACAATTTACAATGAGACAACATATTTTCAAGACCGTAGATAATGTTAAAAATAAAAGATGAATGCAAATTAATATAAAAGAAAGTTTCATATAAATATGTAAATGTTATAAATTATTAATCTTTAAAGAAAAATTTCGACTTATTTATATATGTCAATGTTCGTTAAAATATAATAATTATAATGTAATGTTGATGAATTATAATTATAATGTTGTTGAATAATGTCGTTAGGGTGATTTTCTACTGGCTGGACAGTAGACAAAATCGAATTTAAATAATATTCTTTTAACGTCTTCTCGTCTATATAGAAAAATCTACAGGCCATTAACTGAATATCTAGACTGACCATCTTAAGGTCGTTAGAATAAGCACTGTTTATTTTATTAATTATTGTAAATGTTAGTATTTTCCTAATAAGAAAAAAACCTAAGTTTCGCACTTACATTTATCAAAGTAAAATAATTATAAAAATAAACCTTGCAGTTTCCAAATTTTTGAATATCTGTAGTAGAAAGAAGGCCAGACCAGTAGCCCTCCAGCGAGTAATTCGTTTGTATCGGCCTGATTTTGACTACTGGCTGGCCATTCATGCTGAGGGCATGAAAAGTTTATCGGCCTACAATATATATATATATTACATAAAGTTGATATATTACCTGAACTCTTGATTCCGGTAAATTGATTTTCAGAGCAACTTCTTCCCTCATAAAGATATCAGGATACCTCGTCTTTCCAAATAAAGCTTCTAAAACATCTAACTGGGCTCTTGTAAACGTCGTTCGTTCTCGACGTTGTTTACGTTGATTCATTCCTAAAATAGAATATAAAAAATCAAATTAGTTTTGTTTTAATTTTAAATTACAAGGATAATATTTAATATTTTTTTAAAATTTGAGAATTAGAACATTTGTGTTTTTGTTAAATTTTAATTAATAAAATTCATTTAAATGTATAATTAAATTTCGTAGAAAATATGGAGCACTATTTTTTAACTATCTGGATAGCTAGAAAATATAAAGTTGTCCGACTATCAGGGACTGTCACGAATCATTCGTGTCGTTTCTGTTCTGTACACAACACATTCACACATTGACTAATGTGAAATAAAAAAATGTTTTCATGTCCGAACACGGCACATTTTCTCATCGAATAACGTTTCGTGTTTGTATCTGACACTTTTCAAATAAAGAAATGTTTTCGTGTTCGGACCTGACACATTTAAAATAATAAAATGTTTTGTGTCCAGACACTACACATTTTCTCGTTGAAAACGTTTCGTGTTTGGATACGAGACATAATTCTTTTTTAATGTTTCGTGTCTAGTCACTGAAACATTTAATTAATTAATTTAATTTAATATGAATAATTTATTATTAATTTAATTAAATTTTTATCTTTGTGATCGGGGAGGGGAGGAGAAAGGAGAGTTGCTAGCTTTTGGGATCACTGAATCCAAATCTAATTTCAAAAATGAAAAAAAAAATCAAAACGGCGGATCTAATATGGCGTAACAAGTAAATTTGTTCATGAGAATATTTTACAATGAGAAAGTGGGTCCTATCCGGACACGAAAACTCTTGATTATATTAAAAGTGTCGGGTGTGGGCACGAAAACATTTAATTATTTTATAAGCGTCGTGTCCAGACACGAAAACATTTGAATATTTTAAAAGTGTCGTGTCCGGACACGAAAAATTTAATTATTTTAAAAGTATCGTGTTCAGACACGAAAACATTTAATTTTTTCAAAAGTGTCTGCTTAGAACACGAAAACATTTAATTATTTTAAAAGTGTCGTGTCAGGACACAAAAACACACGGAAAGAAATAGTTCAGAAAAAAATCCTGAAACAGTTTAATAACTCTGGATAAGGCGGTCATTTTAAGAGATTTTCATGAATATTCAATAGAAAGTCCTAAAAAGTTCAGGAAAATCTCAAAATAATTCAGTACTTTTTTTTCAGTACTTTCTCAAAATAAATTAAATAGTTTCTTCTGAAAAGTTCGCAAGATCTTATAAAATTACATTCCCAAATTTCCATTTTGCTCGCCATGAAAAAGTCAGGGATTGATCCTGAGAAATTACTAAACTCGTTCTTGACTTTGATGCGCAGTTGACCATTGCGCATCGCGTGACAGTGTATGCATTAAGTCCCCGTTCACAGTCACGCTCGCACTCGGCAAAAAATAAATTATTCTATTGGTGGAAATTCGTAAATTTAAATAAGCGCGCTAATCTGAACCAATAAGATAATTCTTTGAATACTTTTACATAGAGGATTTTATTAAATAACAGATATTACATAGCTTATGCTTAGGTTAGGGGATGCGCATCGGATTTCTGTACCGGAGACGAGAGTTCTAATCCGCCTGCTGTCAAATTCTCTCTAAAATTGATTTTCTGTTTCAGATTCTTAATAAAAATTGTTTCATGTGTGTGTTATATTAATAATATATTGTTTGTATTTGTTCGCTATGTATAAATTGTAAAGTGTAACGTAAATTATGTCTATATTTGTGTTTTAAAATAAGTGTGAGTGATGAAAGGAGAAACAAAATAAAATTTTTTTCGTCTTCCTTAGCTAAGAATTTTCCTGAAATAGTTCAGGAATTTTTCATGTGGGGCTTCATGAGAAAGTCGTGTGGTAACTCATCAATAAGTAAGGAAGTATTTCTTTAACATTTCTGGAATGAACTAAGCAAATTCTCATTTGATTTATTTTTGAATTTTTAGTGTTTACTTCAACACAAAGTGATGAAATATTTAAGACTATATCCAAAATATTTTATTACTTATTCAAAACAGATAAGATTTAAAATATACTGAAATGGTCGCGATATCCAAAGTTACAAAACTGAGTTCAGGACTTTTTCCTGAACTATTTTTTTCCGTGCATTTAAAAATTTTAAAAGTGGCGTGTCCGGACACGAAAACATTGATTTTTTTTTAAAGCGTCTGGTCGGGACACGAAAACATTTCATTAATTTAAAAGTGTCCGGCCAGGACACGAAAACATTATAAATTATTAAATGTGTTTGTGATTGACCACGACACTACTCAAAATTGATTTGGCGTTTTGTTTCGTTTCCGTGTCAGTCCTTGAAATTAAGGGAAATTTTTAATTCTTTATAAAAAAAGACAAATCCGTATAACAACGATTAATTCTTATCAGTATATGTACACTGCGGTGTTTCAGTGACATTCAACTGATGATTTATAGATTTAGAGATATGAGATGGCTGCTGCTGCCAAGCTGCTGATAAAAAAACTTTTTGCTTTTCATAAAATTAATAAATAATATACGTATTAATTTTTCTGTTGGTCTTAATGTAGCACGATAATTTCTACTTTTTTTCATGCGTATGTGTCACTATTTCTGAGATTTGGTAGCGTTGCCGCTTCTCTTTAAGCGCAGCTGAAACCGAGTTGAAACTTGGACTCCTCAAAACAGCGCTATATATTCCGAATGTGCCCCATGACCCCCTTGTAAGCGGATTATCTGAGTCCCGAAAGGAGCAAAGCAAAACTCGATGGCACGAGAAGGGCTGCTCAAAATTACGCTATCACGTCCTCCCAACGAGCAATGTCCTCCCTGACCCCTCGATCCTCTTCTGCATGTTGTAGTTGATACGATGGTTTTCTTCTTCTCTCTGTTTCGCATTTTACTATATATACTATGTAGTATTTCATTAACGAGCATTCTATATAGTACAAAGAGGACAACAACTCTTTGAATTTTATAAAGTAATAATAATCAGGGAGAGTTACCAAAACGAAATGTTTAAGTTTTAATTTGAAAGAATAAGGTATCAGAAAATATACATATAACATTCCACATATCTTTCACATAAAATACATTTTTTGCAATTATTACTCAAAGAAAGTGTAGATCTTAAATTCTTATCTAATTTAACGACTCCTTGAAAATCCAAAGCCCTTTTAAGTTTAAAAATGTTTGTTTGCAAAATTGTGAATGTAAAAATAAAAATATCCATGGCAGAGCTGTTTATTGTGATTCAATTATTGGTGGTATTGCTTGAATCCTATAATTTTATATTCAATAAATATTTAAAATATATGATGTATAACACGATAGTAAATAAGAAGGCGCATGTATTTTTCCTTTAACATTTTTTTGTAAAACGAATATTTTAATTACCTAATAAAGTAAAAAAACTGTAAAAATTTTATTTACAAATTTCATTGAATTTCAAAACATAAATTGTCGTATCTTCGACAATAACTAAGGAATCGTTTTCGAATTTGGTATTATTATATAATAAAATTGTAATTTATATTTATGTCAACAATAAATGGTTAAATATTTAAAATATTTAAATATTATTTTTTAAAAAATAAGAATTTTGAGCTGCAATATATATGTAACCTGGACAATTATTATATAATAATATTATTATTAAATTATACGAAAAAATATGTAGTAATTAATTTTCCCTCGTAATAAATGCCCTAACGAAGTCAAGCTTGGCTTGAAACTCCGTAGAGGCGATCGCTCACGCGCCGCGCGCTATTTGTTTAAACTAATATATTTCAAAAACTAAACGAGGAATCCTTCTGCAAACTTCCTTGTATATTAATAAACAAATGTCACACTAGAAGTTCTTTTAATTTTAAACTTCCTCGCACACTTTTTGTCGGCAATGGCAAGAACACGTTGTAGCAGACATTTCTCTATTTACAATAAAAAATAATTAAATAATTGATGATTTTCATCCTTCTTGTTATATTTTCGCCTTCTATGGACCTAAATGCGTGGTATAACAAATTCCAAAACGATTCCTTAGTTATCGTCGAAGATACGACAATTTATGTTTTGAAATTCAATGAAATTTGTAAATAAAATTTTTACAGTTTTTTAACTTTATTAGGTAATTAAAATATTCGTTTTACAAAAAAATGTTAAAGGAAAAAAACATGCGCCTTCTTATTTACTATCGTGCAGTACTTTTCAAAAATTAAAATTGTCCAAAATTGTCCAAATATTTCAACAGGTCACTGTCGACCGGTTAAAGTTAATATCGGTTAACTAGAGGTAACGGCCCGTTAAAAGTTGGTGGAACATACACGTTTAGAAATTTGACGGTCCTTTAATGACTTAACCATGGTTAGTGGATCCGGGCATAGAACTAATATCCGTAAGGAAAGTAAAAGTGCCTCTTAAAATTTGTTGACTTTGAACAATTATAAATCGAGGAATAAAAATTGAGCTGTAGCGTGCAATAACGACATCAACGCTCGGGCTATAGGTCCCAACCTCAATATCTACTAGGGGAGACTGGGGCTGTTTGGCGCACTTTAGTTTATTCAAAAGTGGGTTTCAAGTTAAAGTACTTGATGAACTGTAAGTTTGTACAAAATTTCATTAATATTCATTAATCATTGTGGAGTATAGATTAAAATAACTGATTTTGGCACTACTAAGTAATTTTTTAACCTCTTCATTTTTTTGTGACATCTCTTTAAAAAATGAATTTTAGAAGAGCTCAAATATTAAGTTTTGAGCTCTATACATTTGTTATTAAGAAACAAAAAAAATTTTTGATTTATATTAACAGTTTTTATAAAACATTAATAAATATTTCAAAAGTATATTCGGGGTTAGGTGTCGCGGTTATCTGAAAATTTCGTTAAATATTAATAAAATGATTAAATGAAGTTGATTATATGAAATTTACACATTAATAAGCACCAATAACAATCCTTTTCAAAAAATTTAACCGAATATTGGGTTTTTAAATATTCACAGCGTAATTATCAAAATATATATTTTGTTTTTGATAATTTTACGAT